CAGTGATTACTTGTTTTAAACAGATTTAGCAGATAGGCTGAGGTTGAATGTAGCGACCTTCTCTTGTAATCGTACAAAAACGTCTTGTTTTAGTCTGCTTTTCGCAAAACAAAATGGCAAAGGTGTGTAATCCCGATTTCGACGAATTGGTGTAAGTGAACTCCTTGCACGAATCGCGCGTGATTCACACGCGTTATGCACGATTTTTCATTTCACAGTGCGTGTTATACAAACATATATTAAGTATTAAAAAACGGAAAGCTAATAACTTGTTCCTGGTGCTACATGAACGTTTATTGCTTGGCTTTAAAAAGCTTTAAAGGAGCAGCCAGGTGACGTGTGTACACTATCTTTGTATTTAAGACAACACTCCTGGACTCGCTTGGCCTAAACCTGTAACGGAGCAGCTGGGACAGTGATTGGGAATAGCTAACCACTCTCTGGAGTCCGCACACAGACCTAGTAACCCAAGCATCTTGTCCAGCCCTTCTCGCAAAACAGAAACCCGCGTTTAAAAAAAAAACAAAACATTGCCAATCAAACTTGAGATTAAATAATTTGGGAACTAGCCCAGAGCTCAGAAAATGGAAAAAGTGAAATGAAATACCCAGTGACATTTTTTTTACAGTAAACGTCCCTTTTGAAAATGTGTCATTTATTCGATTGTATTTATTCAAATAGTTGTAGTTTCTGCGGTCGTCGGTTTTAAGAATCCTGAACAATGAATGTGAATCTGATGCGTGAAAGTGAGCCGTGGTGAATCTGCCAGAACTAACTGTGCCAGCCGTATATTCCTAGGGAGGTCTCATGATGGAGTGGTGAAAATGGACGAAATAATCATTCTTTTTTTGTTTTGTTTTGTTTTAAACCGATGTGAACAATCGTGTGAAACGGACACCATTTATTTCCAAATCTTTTAAGCGGTGTACCTGAACTACAGACTGAAAAGTTCACCTGCAAAGTTCCGGAGTAAAAGGCGGCGGGTGAGAGTTTGGCTTGTACGGGCTTCACTTTACTCGGCTCACGACTGTCAGTTTCATTTTCGCCCAGTAGACCGAGACACCTGTCTGTCATCCCGCGAAGTGACCGGCAGTCCGCCGAGCTCTTCTCTATGGGACAGCTCGGGGGAAACTGTAATCCCGACCGGCAGAGGAGTGACAGCAACTTTCTTGAGAAGAGAAATTGCCATGAACAGTGTAAACAGTGTAGAGTGTCACTGTTGCCCATCTCAACAGAACGATTAAGGCGTAGGGCTTATTTAAAGAAAGGTGGTACTGATTTAACAACGAGTTAGGTAGGACACACCAAGGCGGAAGAGGCACAGGGAATTATTTTTTTTTACAGTACTATGAGGGAAATCCGGCTTCTCTTAATAATTGATAAAACGGAAATGTAGTACTTCAATACCTGGTAACACAGTAGACCCGAGGCTCTGCCACCTTACCTCCCTCCTTCTCGTGTGTCTGCGTGCTCCTAAAGGGAGACTGCTAATTAAAAAAAAGAACTTTCCAAAATGTGTTTTAGCACCGATGCTGCCGTATATCAGCACCGAGACAGGGAGTGGGGTCGCCGGGGGAAGCGCTGAGGAGTTTGTGCGCAGAGAGGCGCCCGCACACACCCGTACAGGCCCGCCGAGCTGAGCCTTCAGCCTGCGGGCGCAAACGGACACCGGGGCGGCTGGAACACTTATTTTCCAAGCGGTGGAAGCTGAGCTGCCCGGGGAGCAGGCTAGCATGTGTATGCAGCCGTCCTCCTGGTGCTGTCTGGGAGAGGAGGGGCGTGTGGAAGACAGGAGCCGAGGCATTTGCACTTGTCGCGGTCTAGTCCCGCTTGATGCGGGCGGGGTCCTGCGACCTGCCGTGCGCGGAGGTGTCGTGGAGCGCAGGTGCAGCACGGAGATGTCATGAAGGCCGAGAGCGGAGGGATGCGCTGTCGTGTGTGTGTGAACGCGACAGGAAGGCACCCCCATGTCCCATAAGAAAACATACAATAAAATCCTTAGAAACAAGTAGGGATCAAAACCGTTTTCGGCAAGGAGGGAAAGAGGCCAGAGACCTCGGCCTTGCCGCTGGTGGGGTGCCAGCCCCCCTTCTTCAGCTTTAAACACAGCCGTGGGAGTCACACAAGGACAAGATGAAGAACCTAGACTGTTCTTTCTGTTTGTTACTTTCTTAGACTTGTTTAGCTCAGGACGGCTCCAAACTGAAAACACATGTTGCCAAAGCAGCTCCTTTATAGATGTTGCTGTCGCCTGAATTGTAAACTTCACTTCTTGTCAGAGACATTCTGCATTCTCTTACCCCCAGCGGTGTAAATTGACTACAGTTACTGGTCAATACCAGCAGTGGAATGTAAAGATTTTAGGAGGCATTTTGGCAAGAATACAGGAGGTGTGTGCAGAAATGGAGTACTGTATACAGAAGAATTTGGATGATGGAAACTTGGCAAAACCTTGATCTGTAATGGTAACAGGGATGCCATCTGAATGTTTGCAGTGAATTGGAGTGACCTTTTTCAGATTATGTGCTAATTAGGTGTTTTAGTTTGCTACAACATTTATTTTGTGGTACTTTGTTCTTCTTTTAACTGTGCTGTACCCACGTCAATGTGGAGAGGCAGAATGAATCACAGACAATAATGTTAAGTGTGAAGAGTGGATTATCCACCAAGATCACTGACACAGCCTCATTATAAAAGAATGGACAGTTTGTGCTGTTCTTGTAAACACGACACGATTTAGATGCAACTTAACTCTTCCATTTTGTGCCTCCTTTGGTTCTTAATTTAAGATTAAACTGTAATTCCTGTTGGCATTTTAACAGAGTTTCAGTGGTTTGAAAAATTGTGTTATACACAATACCACACAATGTTATAAGATTGCATCTATCCTTGAAATAGATGCATTACACTACCCTGAAAATATATATTAGCAGTAGAATAAAATAGATTCAAAGTAAAAGTAATTCCTAACATCAAACACTCCACACAGACAGCTATTCTATATTAAAATATTTCGCCTGCTGCATTATATGTCTTGTTTTAAGGAAGATAAAAAAAAAATACACTCAGTGTAAGGTTCTAAGTATTTTCCAGTTTAAAATTAAATTGTACAGCCTGTATATCACTAATTGTCCTTGTCTTTTGGAGAATATAATCAAAGTCAATGATAAAGCATAGTAAAGTGCAAGGATTAGCTTTTTATTGGGAGCACTGACCTGTATGTATAAGAATTAAGTCTGCAGATTGAGTTTGAATGTTTTGGAAGCTGAAAGGAATTTTGGCATCAGCAGAAAATAGAAGCTGTGAAATGAGATCCAACCCGCTGTTTCACAAGTTTTTTTCTTTCAAATACAACCATTTTTACACCAATAAAAAAAAAAGAACTTGAGAAAAACATTTCCAATCTTAATTTTCTGTTGTGGAATTTTTTTGTACAGGCTAAAATCTGCGTTTAAGATTGACAAACAGGTTAGGAAACTGGACAGTCAGTGGGCTATAATGTGAATCATGTTGTGTGCGGTGTACCTGTTTTTCAGAGCAGATAAGAATATGAGAGAGGTATTTTTTGTCTTATGCTTTAATTGCAATGAATTATAGCAAACAAAATGAAATTCATCTTGTTACAGGTATTTTACAAAACGGAGAGTACTGTCCTTAATAGGCATGCTTACTCAACCCAGAATGAATAAGCCTATGCCATGCCTCCTGATTACTTTAATAGGTTAAGAGTTACAATCACAAGTTGATATCTTCACTTCTGAAAAACAAATATTCTGTTTACTGTCTGATTAACGTGTTGTGCAGTATTTTATAACCCAGGAGATATACTATACTGTAACCTTGCACTTCAAAATGAGAAGATTCAGTAAAGCGAACACACTGTTTACAGCAGGTCAAAGATTTGGATGTCAACTACATTGTTGTTTTTAGAATGTGCGTATACTGAACAAAAAGAAGCCAATTTTGTGTTTTTAACACATTTGTACATCATTTATGAAATAATCGTTCCCATTCATTTTCTCTTTTAAATACAAGGCAATGTCAGTTTACAATGAAAGCCGGGAAAATAGTAAATAATTACTGCATGAATAAATATTGTCTTGTTCACGTGTCTATTTCAGAGACACAGATTCAACCGAATGGCCTGTTACAGCTGGTTCTGGTATTTACTTCCTGTCCCTCTCAGGGAATGACTCACCATTAGGTCTTCCAACACTTTTCTTGAGAACAAATGTCTCTGTATTATGCAGTGCAGACCTGGCAAAGGAAATGACTTAAATCAGACAATCCTATTCCCTTTGTCCACTGACTTAAGTTCACATACTGTGTGTGTGGTGGGAGGATAGAACAAAACTGTAAAATTAAAGATCTTACAAAACAGTGTATAAGTAAGCATTCCCTCCTCTTGTGTCTTTTGGGAAGCATTCATAATCTGGATTAGAATTAAACCTCACAGAACCACTAAACCCCCTTTTATATAACTTATTTTTCCATAAAGGATTCACAATCAAAATATGAGGAGTGATCTGTCATTGTTTCTCAGACCAGCTCCAGCAGAACCAGAACATCATCCAGAGTAGCAGCAACTAAACTTGCAGAGCAGCTCCCAGGACCCCTGGCTAATAACAGTGCCAGTCAGGCTTCGAATAACCAGTCAAGAGAATGCAGGCCGATACCTGTGTGTTACTGTTACAGGACGTGCATTCTGACAGGTGTAGCAAATATGAACAGCATAAGAATATACAGCACATCCCTTTCGTACATAAAATTGCCATATATTAAGTATTTATTGTTACTATCCCCTCAGATTTTTTTAAAAAAAGAATAAAACTAGCAAACCGAATCCAAATTATTATACATGGAATAAATTCATATGACAAATACAGTCAAATGCACTGACTGTTAGATACCCCAGAAAGCAACCAATAATGCAACAAATGTAGCTTTTTGTTGAAAGAATGCAGTAAGACATATGCTTAACCAAACTTTAGTTTCTGCACTTTTAAAAAAATGCATTCTTAAAAAAAACCCAAAAACCTATTACCCAGTAAGACACTGCTATTCACAAGGCTGTTAACAACGATGAATGTTTCTGGATGCAGTCTTCCCAAAAGCTCTGTATGAGAAAACTATTTCAGTGGCTCCGCTTTCCCGTATGAAGGAATGAAGTGTACGTGCATCTTACTGTCTTATAGAAACCAAGGGAACAGCCATATTGTCCTATAAGATAGATCTACATCTCTGCTATTAGATTAATATTTTAATAACAATTAAGAGCAGACCAATCCAGCAAAAACAGCGTGCTCAAGGCAAAAGTCACCAAATTATCATTTAAATGTCCCTTGACTCCAATATCTAGCCAGTCCTTCATCACACTCTCTGAGAGAACTGCACCTGTTAAGGCTTCACTCTCTTCAAAGCCTCCAGCTCTCCAATCACACAGGACTTGTGCAGCACTTTAAAATAATAATTCACACTTGAAATAAAACACAGCTTCAAATTATATATCAATAAAGCCATAACATATTTAGAACAAATGTAAATCTAGTTCTATTAAATATCCTACTTTATGTCTTCATTTTACTGTATATGGAGACCTAAGTATTAAAACCTATTTCAAAGACTCCTGGTACATTTTTAGAGGAAAAAACAGAGAACATTTAATAATGTCATTGTTTCCACTACAGTCAAGCGCACAGCGTCAGAGCCTGAAGTGATCCACTGGTGGCGGGGCTGTTGGTGGTTAAAGTGAAATGTCAGGATTGTCTAGCTGTAGGAATTTTCCATTAGTCACATTGCAGTTCCCTTGTTAGCTAGCTCATTTAAGGGAAGCCCGTGGGGAACAGGCTCAGAGGCTGGCTCTCATTGGTGGGGAGCGGCGAACGGTAACCCTCGAAATTGCGGGGAATGCTTCCACTCGTGGAACCGGAGCTGTTGCTGAGCGTCTCGATGCTCCCCTCCCTCTGCAGCTCTGTGGGGCAAAACACACAGCACACCAAGGGTTAATATCTGAGCCCTGAGGCCAAGGCCACTTATACAGATGTATAAGACGCTTTGAGTGTAAGATGCTTGCAGTGTTGTATCATCAGATTCTGAGCAAGCCGGATGGCCCATCACGTATATTTCATGGTGGGGTCAGTAACTATGGCATTATCAAACCTGGTGGCTATTTCCTTCAGGATATAAACAACACCAGCAACTGCATTCCCTCACCAATCCATAAAGATACTTTACTATAATTCTGGACTTAATCAAAGATTATGATGAAGGACACACAGAGTGATGCACCCTTATATTGCCCAAGAGTTAAAAAACTAAGCTTTTCAGGGGCTGACTTAGATCTGCTTATACTCCATTTGGACAAAACCTATTGGACACCTATTGGATACCTCTGGAAGATTAAGGCAGGTGCTTGAAATGAAATTCAAGGGCTTTACTTAGTTCTATAAAAAAAAATCTCCAGTAGCCCCCCATTGGAGTGTATCTTGGTGATTGTGGCCTGACAAAAAAAAAAAATTGCCTTTATTTCAAAATTCTTACAGATTTCTAAAGTGATTAAGCAGCTGGTCCCTATGTGTTAACCATTGATTCCAAACTGTTAAGTTAAAGTCACTTCTTCTTTAAAGTTTTTCTTCTTTAACATCTGGCAAGCTGAACAATTTCCATTCTCTTCAGAAGACAGAACCTTGCATGCAGTGCTTCATGTTAATTCATGTTTTATTAGTGTGCATTTTTTTAATAGTGAAAATATGTGTACTTTTCAGCTAGCATTAATGCTGTGATTTGCTTGAGATCAAAGGATTTCTGCAGCCTGAGCGCTGTTTTCATTTCTAGTGGATTGTAAGGTGAGTGTAATAACTTCACAGGTCATCGTCTTCCTGCTAGAATCCAAACAGTTGGATTGCACGAAGTGCACAGTTACTTTTTTTGTTGCTGAAATGACATAAAAAGTTGTGACTTTTAACAAAGGATCACTGGATAACGGCTAGTTCTTTCAATTTTCTTTGTCACAATTACACATTTTAGAAATGGCTCATGCCCCTTCTAGGGATACTTCCTCTAGGCCCTCTGTTTTTAAGCCTTGGTTTCACTCACACCATTCAGAGCTCGCTTTTGAGTGTTTTTGGACTGTTGTTGCTGCTGTCTGATCTCAGGGAGGATTCTGACCCTCCTGTTTGGGTTGGAGTGGAGTTGGATATTATTTAAAGCATGCAAAGCCGTTCAGAGTGTACTCAGGGTTAAAGTGGAAGACTGCCTCTAATATTGAAGCTTCAGCGGGGCTGCCTTTGATCAGTGTTTGGCAGCGGTGCTTTCATCTCCATGCAGAGATACGCAGAGTCAATCTGAGCTGTGCAGATACTTGCTTTTTCACAGTATGGCTTTGAGGGAGGGTGTCGGTCGAATTTTACATCTCACTCAGATTTTTTCTATAAAGGACTCTCCCCCTTGTTGTCCCGATTCTTACCTGCAATTATTGATTGCTTCCCTAAATATCCAATCTGTCACTAAAATAAGAGTTTTTATTTTTATTTTTCAAACAGAAGGACCTATATTATATAATGAAGTTTTGCATGGTGTAGCTTTTCGACTTAATAGCCATGGCTGTGTGGTCCATCTGATTGAATCTATCAACACCAGCTATTCCCTCCTGGATCTACGGTAAAATAAAATGGTTTCACTTTCTTGGAAGACCTACAGTACATCATAACTCATCTCCAGACCAGTAGATTCCTGTATAGTTTCAGTATATACTGTATAGTCGTCTGTTTTATTCTGTCAAACTATTAGCAGGCAGTGTGGTCTTCACTGCTAAGACAAATAACATCTTTTCCAAAATACAATTTAAGTTGATACGGGTTTAAAAATATTATATCATACACCAGCATGAGATGCTAAAAGTTTGATAACAAATAAGAATTCTCTTATTCAGGGAACAGGTCAATGACACTAATGTGAAACATGGGACTGGGTTCAAGATCACTCTGATGGAAAAGAACGAGCTATCCCCAGAGAAGGAGTGTCACCACTGGCTGCTGTGTCCGACCGTCATTAGAGATGAGTTCAGCAATAATCCCAATGTGGAGCAGTAATGTTTAACCAAAGCGCTGAGATTGGTTTTGAGCCACACAACAATGAAAAGGCCAGGAGATGAATAAGCAGGGTAGGGACTATCCATCTGGCTCAGTAAAAGTACACACCCTCATGCCCTTCTGACATGTCCAATTGGTTTAAAGTGAGTTCACAGAACCTGTTTTTTTTTTGTCAACCTTCACATGTAAACCAGATAAAGACTCAAAACTCACATAATAACCCTTAAATAAACTGCAAATAAACCACAAATTAAATAGCAGGCAGAAAGGCAGCATGTTGATAGTGTACTTATCCTGGGGACACTGTTCTGCCATATAGCGTGAGACTAGAGGGTTCTCACTGCTGGAATAATCGTTCTATAGGCTGTCTAAAGTGGGTGTAAACATACAGTTCTGCCAACTTTGGCTTCAATATAGCACTTTCAAGGGTATAAAAAATACAGTCTACAAGTTAAAGTTCATCTTTAAGTCCTCTCATTACTGACAATGCTAGGGCAGGATGTTCTTCTGCACATCTCACTCGGTGACACTCCAGTTTATTTCCACTAACCACCGCCTCTACGGAAACTGCGCTCTCATAATGCAGTTTCATTTTTTCAGTATTCCTGGCTTTTCACAGCTCAGCATCAAGGGCTGCACATTGTACACAAATGAATCCATACATTGTGAGTGTGACTGCAGCATGCTTTTCATCAGGGAGTTCTTTTCTCTGTTTTGCATTTCATGAAGTAAACATAAATGTGACAAGGAAACAGACATGAAGGCAGCACTGTGCTTGGAGTGGAGACATTGCTCTCTTCTTTTCACATCATAGAGCTCAACATAACTTTTTGTAGCACTTTGTTCAGTACTGATCTAAACAAACTACTTTCTTTGCCAACAGGCCAGGAACACACCCTCTCTCTGACACTGTGCATACACACCTGCAACTAGGAATTAGAGCTGTGATGTCTAATTATGACATCGCTTTCCTTCACTCAGCTCCAGTCTTGCTGCAGGGCATTGATCTGAAAGCCTGGCTGCTGTGATGACACAACGCTCTCTAGCTCCAGCACGGGAGGTATGTAATTATCGCTTATAATTGTAAAAGTTGTAAGCTACTAAATGGCATCTAAGCCTAGAGAGTAAAGAATAATCTATCTCTTTGTGTGACCAGTACTAGATATTATTCTAGAATTTTGAAAGTTTTGCCAGCAATAATTAATTTCTGTCTTTGATTTTCTTTTCTTTCTATAGAACTTAGAGATGAACTGTTTCACTCATCTACCATCACTGGGACTGGAAAAGAGCCCCTACCCACTACTAAATAGGTACGCTGGGAAAAGTCTGGGAAAGTAAGGTTTTTAACCTCAAGTGCAGACAAAAATCTTTACTTAAAAAAGTCAATGCATTTCCTGAAAAAACAAAAACAACTCTGCATCCTTATCTTCAGATACTGTGAATTGCTATACTCTAATTGTCTTAATCCTATAATATTTTCATATTTGCACATCCAAGAGATATATTAACCTAAGCCACCTTAATGAAATATTTGTTGTTTGTCATCTTTGTTTGTGATTATTTTTTGGCCCTGCAAAGCTCCTGAGTCAATACATCAGCAGCAGAACCCCTGAACTGCCTGGTGATTTAGAACACATTTCTCCAATGAAAGGCCTGTTTTGACTGAGATATATTGAATTTAACATTAAGGAGAAACAAAATAAGGATCAAAGGAAACAAAAGGCTCTTAATCAGTAGTTCCTTGCCAGTGTAAATGTGAGTGAAAACTCACTCAGACCCAATTTATACCTCCTCACCCAGCCATCAGCAGAGGAAGTTTGAGAAAACAGAAAAAAAGCAGTAATTTGAATCAGAAATGAGCGTCGTAACCCACACCAGTACTATACTTATCCTGTCTGATTTTCTTACTTTAATCTCACCGTGCTCCCAGCTGGCTTTGGTTAAATGTCTCACGTCAGATTCCTCTCTCACTGTGCTGCCATCACAGGCAAGATAAACTACAGCACACTTAGTCTTCAGTCAGACAACATTACACCACTTTATTGCAATCAACTCTATTTCTTTTTTGTTTTTGTGTGTGTGTGGGGGGGTGGGTGGTAGAGTGAATTTTTGGAGAGATACTGCAGTGATACTTCACTGTTAGTGAGGTATCAAATATCAGATATTAAAATATTAGAATCATCAAGCCTGTGCAATAATGTTTTACTCAAAATACAGTGACTCTAACCAAATGTATTCACAGAAGAAAAAACCTTAACATAGATTTTACTTCTGCAGGAGAACAACGTTAAGACTGATCCCACTGTAAACATTCATTTCTTTGTCTATTAAGCCAAAATGACAAGCCGAACCTTAAAGAACATACAGCTGAGGATCAAGATGGCTGATCTACTCAAACCGGCTCCAAATCTATGCTTGAATGCAATAGCTAAATAAAAGCCTGTTTAAACTGGATGATATATAAGCAAATGCATATTCTTTTTGCTGTGTAGATCCCATCCTTTTCAAAAGGGATAGAGAAATATGATTAGAAGGCAGTAGGTTAGTTACTTCATAATGTTTGTTGCACCTTTTCATTGAATAGACCAATGATCTTTTTGACTAAAATTGTTAGTCATTTATATTCTCATTGATCACGACAGCTTGCCTTGTGTGAGTACCCAGTTAATACCGGAACTCCTGTTTGAAGGTATGGTACTTGGCTTAGACTCATGCAAACCACAAGATCCTAAACCTGGTTGTCTTTACCCAACACCGAAAAGGGCAACGTATTCTTCTCACTAATAACCTTGATAAAAGAAGTGAATAAAACAATTGTGCCCTAAACAGAAATTTTCCAGAACTCGCCATTGTTCTCTGAGAGCTGGTGAACTCCTTTTAA